TTAGGGTTTAGGGTTTAGGGTTTAGGCCTCTTTTGGAGAAACGATAGTGGAGTCTCTGGGCTGGGCCTACGCAAACTTCGCCGCGGCCTATTTAGGAGAAGTCCAAACCTATTGGGGTTTGGGGGCCACAGTGGCCAACATTCAGGCCACAGGCAGAGGCATCGGTAAACCCTAAACCCTAAACCCTAAACCCCAAACCCTGAACCGTAAACCCTAAGGGGGGGGTGGCGCGAGGCCCTCGGGGTGCTGGGGGGCGCTGGGTGCCCAGTTGACGGGAGAGAGCGGCTGGGAGGAGCAGAGTAGTGTTTTATACTTGCCGGCTCTAAACCCTAATTTAGGGTTTAGGGTTTAGCGCGTACTGTAGATGCGCCGCGCAGTCAGCGGACGCCCACAGACCTTTCGACATTTAGGGGCAACACGAAGTTCAGGCAAAGGCTCTCAAAAACCCTAAACCCTAAACCCTAGGCTCAAAACCCTAAACCCTAAACCCTAAACCCTTCAGGCGCGAGTCTTTCGTTTGGTTTTTCTCGCCTCGGTTCCTTCGCGCACTCTGTCTCTCCCCCCCAACGAATAAATTATTGTTTACTTATTTATTATTTATTTATTTATTTATTTATTTATTCATTTATTTATTATTTGTTTTTGTTTTCAGGAAACACTCTGGCAATGGCGAAGTCGATGGTGCAAGCTGCTGTTGCTGCAACAGATATTCAGCAAAGACATGAACAAAAAAAAGAAGAGGGAAATTTGCCTAATAGACTCGACACGCAAGACGTAAACCCTAAACCCTAAACCCTAAACCCTAAACCCTAGGCGGTAGACTCAGATATTCAACACTAAACCCTAAACCCTAAACCCGAGGGCGTAGACTTAAACGTTCAGCAAAGGCACGAGCAGCGTAAGAGGAACTTCACCACACAGATTCGACACACAATCTGGAAACCCTAAACCCTAAACCCTAAACCCTAAACCCTAAACTGTCGCACGGCGGCACAGGAGCAGAAGCCACTGTGCCCTCCACTGCTGCAAACAGTACCATTATTTCTTTATTATTATTTATTATTTATTTATTTGTTATTGTCTATTTATTTATTATTTATTTATTTGTTTATTTATTTTAATTTCAGATTGACAGAGTTGGCGAAATACTCCAAAGCGTCCTTTCCATCGTCGCGTGCGATGTCGAAGACACCGCGAGAAAAGCAGCAGAAAAAGTAGGGTTTAGGGTTTAGGGTTTGGCGATTAGGGTTTAGGGGGTGGCGTTTGGCGATGAGGGTTTAGGGTTTGGGGTTTAGGGTTCATCTAGCGTAACAATCAGGGTCCCGGGTATCTCGACTAGAGTTTAGAGCGGGGGGCTAGCTGACTAGCCAGGAGTCAGGGTTTAGGGTTTAGGGTTCGTTCAAGGGTTTAGGGTTTGTTCAAGGGTTTAGGGTTAAGGGTTTGTTCAAGGGTTTAGGGTTTAGGGTTTGGGGCTGAGTGGTGCGGGGGCGGAGAGCCTGTTGGATAAAAAGCTCGAACAAAGGCCGCCAACCTCATTTGATTTAAATAATTAATTTAATTTAATTTAATTAGGTTAATTTAATTTAATTGGTTTGATTAATTTAATTTAATTAATTACATATTTTGTTTTTTGTTTTTCAGATTTGCAGAGACGAGTCTGTGGCGCTGGCGGTGCGGGTGAAGCGCGCGGAGGCGCTGCAGTGGCTGGGAGAAGAAATGATGAAGGAAGCAATTAAAACAAAAAAGGAAAAAGAAAAAGAAAGATTTGATGTTTCCAAGCACATGGAAGACGCCTTCATCAAGTAAACCCTAAACCCTAAACCCTAAACCCTAGTAAACCCTAGAGACCCCTCAAAACGAGGGGTTTCCAGGCCCCAAACTCGTCCAAAACCGCGACATAGAGCAAACCCTAAACCCTAAACCCTAATGAGCTTTGAAACTATTTTGGTGATTCCAAACACATGGAGGACGCCTTCACCAAGTAAACCCTAAACCCTAAACCCTAAACCCTAGCGACCCCTGAAAAGGAGGGGTTTCCAGGCCCTAGACTCGTGGAAAACGGCTCCATAGACCAAACCCTAAACCCTAAACCCTTGTAAACCCTAAACCCTAGTTTAAGCGTTAGACTTTGGATATTTGACGTTTCTAAACATTTGAAAGATGCCATAGTCGAGTAGACCCTAAACCCTAAACCCTAGGCCATAATAAAGCCGAAGTCCTAAACGCCTAACTCCAAACCGTATGCCGCAAACCCTAAACCCTAAACCCTAGGACTTGAATGTCGCACTAACCGCCAAACCCTCGTTCACAAGAGAGAAACAACGAGGGGACAGACGTTCCCCAAGACTCGCCTGGTCTAGGGTTTAGGGTTTAGGGTTTGTGAGTTGCTGTTTGCAGGGCGACGATTGCGGCGGATGAGAAGAACCGCTAAACCCCCAGCCTAGGGTTTAGTTAGGGTTTAGGGTTTAGGGTTTAAGGTGGCTCTGTTTGAAGCCCGCTTGGGGCTCTTTTGTCCAGTGTTTGGCGCTTCGCTTCTTCATGGGTTGGAGTTCACGTCTAAGCCCTACGCCGTAAACCCTAATTTAGGGTTTAGGGTTTGGGGACGTTTTTGCCTTCTTTCAAGCCTGCGGCCGCTGTCTGACGGAATTAAATGAAATAAATAAAATAAATGAACTAATGAACTTCATTCTAATGAAAGAAAGATGGCGCGTCCAAATCGGCGAAACGACAAACGGGGTGTACGTACACCCCAGGTATACGTACACCTCAGGTGTACGTACACCTCAGGTGTACGTACAGCTGGGGTGTACGTACAGTGCAAGTGGATTATGAATGAAAAGTGATCTAAGTGGAATTTAAAAGTGAAATAAACATTTATTATTATTAATTTGCAAATGAAATGGGATCTAGGAATGGCGAAAGAAGGGAAAATAAGTGCAAACGAGAACAGGAAATAACAAGAGAAAATTAAAGTAAAATGAAATAATAAAAGACAACAAAAGATAATTAAAAGGAACTTTTAATTATCTTTTGTAGACAACAAAGGATAATTAAAAGGACTTTTAATTGTCGACAACTAATGTGCCAATTGTCCAGGAATAGAGCCAAGCAATTGTAATATTTATATATATTATATATATATAACATATATAATATATTATATATTATATATAATGTAATATTATATATATTTTATTATATATAATATATTTGTTATATATAATATATATTTATTATATATATAAATGTACTTGCAAACTTGAACGGGCAATGTACGTATCTTTCGTTTGGTATTTTGGAATAAATAAATAACAAATAATAAATGAAGAATAAATAATAAATAAATAATAAATAAATAAGCAAATAGCAATCAAATGATAAATGGCGAATTGGTCGCATTATAAAGTTGGAAATAAATGCATGCAAGAAGTGCCCGACATGCATTTTATTTATTTCACTTTTCCGAAATTATTCTGCAAAAAGATGCAGAAACAAACTCCTGCGCCTCAAAAATTCAAATCCGAGGGTTTAGGGTTTAGGGTTTGGGGTTTAGCAGGGCGCGGCTGGCCTGCTGCAGCACCAGGTCCCCGAGCACCTGCAGCGCAGCAGATTTCAGTTCATTTGATTTGCATTTAATTATTTATTACATTTTTTATTTTTAATTTCTTTTAATTAATTAGTTTTATTTTTAATCCTCTTATTTCCTTTATTTCTTTTCTTGAATGCAGTTTATTTGCCTTCTTTGCTTTTCACGCATGCATGCGTCAAGTGCCAGTCAAATACTTTTTAGTTTGTTTAATTCTTTCAAAAACAAAAGAGAAAAAAAAAGAAAAAAGAAATTCTTTTAAAAGATAAATGCTCCTTCTTTTGTCTCCAATTATTTTCCATTTTTTATTTTTTGTATTTTTTGTCTTTAGTCCCTTTCGTCCACTTTTTCTTTATCTCATGTTTTGATATTCAGTTCCAACTAATTAATTAATTAAATTAATTAATTGGTTAAATAAGTCGGTTAACTAAATTAATTAATAGAATTAAATTAATTAAATTGATCAAATTAATTAAACTAATTGTACTTCGTATGAGTTAAATGATAATTAAAAAATCAAACAATTAAACAGTTCATCAAATCAAACCAAACCCGCAAAATCAAATAATTTAATCAAATCAAACAAATTAGATCAAATCAAATTAAATCAATCGAATCTAATTAGTTAATTTGAATCAAATTAATTAAATTAAATTAAATTAATTAATTTAATTAAATTAAATTAATTAATTTAACTTTTATTTCTCACCAAGATAGCCATGGCCTCCACAACGGGTACAGCCCTAACCACCACAGAAGGGTCATGACGTCCTAAACAAATAAATAAAAATAAATAAATATAAATAAATAATAAAAATAGATAATTAAATGATTGAATTAGTGAATTAGTGAATTAAATTAATTAACAATGTAATTACTTAATTGTGAAAAACAAATAAAAGGATTTGACAAATGCAAAATGTCTTCCAGATTTATTTTTTCATTTTGGATCGAAGTAATTCAGCAGGTGATTTAAAATTTCATTTTTGAAGTTAATTAAATTGATTAATTTAGTTTAATTGAATTAATTAATTAAATCAATTAATTAGTCTGTTAATTCTTTCTTCGTTTGATTGGTCAGTTTATTTGTTTTATTTAAATAAATAGTTAATTAATTAATTTCTTTTTTATTTGTCTAAAACACCTTAAATGGAAAACTGCTGCGGGTGGCCTCCGAAGCCCATAATTAATCAGTTGATTAATTTACTCATTAATTAATTAATTAATTAATTCACAAATTAATTATTTAATTAATTACATGTTATTTTACTAAGTTGTTAATTAATTAATTGGTCAAGTAGTTAGTCGATTGGTTTTTATTTTTTTAAATTACCTGGCCTTCGAAGCCGATCAACTAATTAATTAATTGACTGATTAAATTAATTAATAAATTTTAATTAATTAAATCAGTTAATTAATTAACTTAAGTCAATTAATTAAATTTCAATTAATTAGTTTTAGTTGTTTTTATTATTTAAAAATACCTTTAACAGAAAACTGCCGCAAATTGCTGTCTAAATTAATTAATTAATTGACTAAAATCAGTTAAAGTAAACGATTAATTAGCTAATTAGTTAATCAATTACAACTAATTATAGTTAATTAATTATAATTAATTTTAATTAAATAGATACAATTAAATATAATTAATTAGTTTTAATTAGTTATATTTAATTTAAAAATAACTTTAACAGAAAGTTGCCGCAAATTGCCGTCTAAACCAATTAATTAATTGACTAAAATCAGTTAAATTAATTGATTAATTAGCTAATTAATTAATCAACTATAATTAGTTATAATTAATTAATTACTTTGAATTAATTGATTAATTATAATTAATTATAATGGATTAGTTTTAATTAATTTATTAAAAAGTACCTTTTACAGAAAGTTGCCGCAAATTTCCGTCGAAGTCCGCAGTCAGTTGCGCCGCAGAAATTGAAGAGGGAGGTTTAAATCCAACTCGAAAGTTTACACTTTCTCCTAAATCAAATAAATAAAAAAGAAATGAAGAGGAAATAGTATCCTTAAAACTGAATTAAGGTCATTAAATTGAATTAAATTGAATTAATATTATTTAAAATGAATTAAGAAAGAAAAAAGAATTTTAAAAAACCAAAAAGAATAAAAAAAAGATACAAAGAAGCCAAAGAGGTAGGTTTTAATCCAACTCGAAAGTTCACACTTTCTCCTAAATTAAATAAATAAAAAAGAAATAATATAATTAAAAATGAAAGAAAAGAGTTAATATCACTAAAATTGAATCAAAAGTGAATTAATATTATTAAAAATGAATTAAAAATGAAAAATGAATTTTAAAGAGTTAAAAAAAGATGTAAGGAAGCCACGGAGCAAGAGGTTCATAAAAGAAATTATATTTCAAATCAGTCTATTTATCCTACTTCCAATTAATTAAATTATTTATCCATTTATTTATTTATTTGTTTATTTACTTATTATTTATTTATTTATTTATTTATTTATTATTTATTTATTTATTTATTTATTACCAGTGGTGATGCCCCCCAGAGTGCCTCCCGCGTGGTTAGTTTTGGGTTTTATATTATTTGCTTTTTTTTGGAGTTTTTTCATTTTAAAAAAAAATTCTTTTTTTTCTTTTTTTTCTTTTTCGTTTTCCATTTCGTGAAGTTCACAAAAAGGCCCGAAGGTCCCCCGAGGCTGCAAAAACGAAACATTCCTGCTGCTGCCGCTGCTGCTGCTGTTGCTGCTGCTGCTACTAGTGGTGCTGCTGCTGTTGCTGCTGCTGTTGCTGCTGCTGTTGTTGCTGCTGCTGTTGGTGCTATCGTTGCTGTTTATGCTGCTGTCGTTGCTGTTGCTGCTGCTGCTGTTGCTGCTGCTGCTGCTGCTGCTGCTGCTCTCGAAGCAGTCGTTGTGCTGCAGCCCTGTGGCTTCTGTTGCTGCAAATCCCTCGCCCATCTGAAATAAATAAAACCAAAAGAATTAAAAATAAATTAATTCATTTAAAAGAATAATAATGCGATAGTAGTAATAGTGATAATAATAAAATGATGTAATGATAATAATAATGAAAAAAGAAAAAAGAATTAAAAGAAAACAAACTGAAGAAGCAACTGCGGGCAAACAAAAAGAAAAAAGAAAATGAAAATAAATTTAAAGTAAGAGTAAAAAAGAGATAATTTATGAAGAAGTGGAAAAAGAGAAATATTGAAATGCGAAATAAATAAATAAAAAATGTAAAATAAAAAAGAGAAGATCAAGGAATGAAGCGGAGGTACAGCAGCTGAACCCTAAACCCTAAACCCTAAACCCTAGAGCAATTATGAAAAGAAGGAATGAGCAGAAGGGGGAAGTACGGAACGAAAGAAATCCTGAAATTGAATTAAAAAGAAATTAAATTAAATTTTAAATATTGAGTTAAATTAAATTATTTAAATTAATTAAGTCAAAGAAATAGTGAAAAGCATTCCAAACTCCCTACGGGTCTTTGTCGCAAACGCTGAGGGTTTAGGGTTTAGGGTTTACATAGTTCTTGGTTAGATTCTGGGGTTAAGGAACTAGGGTTTAGGGTTTAGGGTTTAGGGTTTGGGTCACTTCGAAAGCCTTGACTGCAGGAATGGAAAACATCGCATGCGCCAGCAAAGCTGGCAGCTTGTCAAACACAGGCTCTCCTGCACGAAAACCCTAAACCCTAAACCCTAAACCCTAGACTCCAAACCCTAAACCCTAGACCCTAAACCCTAGGAGGTTTGCAAGCCCCCGTGCCCACAGTTCTCTGCTGCAGCCCTGTGGGCGGCTTCTGGGCCGCTCTGCTAAACCCTAAACCCCAAACCCTAAACCCTAAACCCTAAACCCTACCAAGGCCTTGGGGAGGGTTTTGAATGACGCAGCAAACGGCGCCTCCCACAGAATCCCCTGCTGCTTTGACCTGCAGCAAACAAAAGAGAAAATATAAATTAATTTAAATTAAAAGGAGTTAAATTCTTTATTTAAATTAATTTAAGTCAGTTTAAATTAATTAATTAAAATAAAAAAGAATTATAAAAGAAAATTGAAATTCTTTTTTGCTTAAACTAAGTAGTATTTTAACTGCCACCTCGCTTGGTATATTAGCAGCTCTCGAGCTCTAGAGCAGAAACCCTAATCAGGGTTTAGGGTTTAGGGCTTTAGGGTTCAGCGTCTAGGGTTTAGGGTTCAGGGTTTAGGGTTTGGGGTCGAGGGCCAAGGGTCTACAGTTCAGGCTCTACTGTCCAGGGTCCAGGGTTTAGGATCTAGAGGTAGCTTCTAGGGTTTAGGGTTTAGGGTTTAGGGTTTAGGGTTTAGGGTTTAGGGTTTACCTCGAGGAGGAGCCGGGCCATTTGGACTGCAGTGGGGATGTGTGGGCATCTGGTGTGTACGTACACCTGAGACTCCGAATTTGAAGTTTCTTTAGTTTCGTTTTTAATTTCATTTTCTTTCATTTCCCCTTTTTGATTTGCTGCGGCACTGTGCTGCTCCTGCTGCTGCTGCTGTTGCTGCTGCTGCTGTCGCAGGCGCAGCAGCGCAGGTGTACGTACACCCGGGAAGCAGCAGCCGCTGCTGCAGCAGAGGAGGTTTTTTTCCAAGTCAAATAAAACCCTTCCTGCTGCTTCGACTGCAGCAGCAGCAGGAGGCTGCAGCAGCAGCTGCTGCAGCGCAGCAGCAGGAACAGCAACGGGGCCCAAAGAACTCACAAAAGCAGCAACGGAAACATCACAAACTTGCCGCAAAAATGAAGACTCAACAATTGCTGCTGCTGCTACTCTTGCTGCTGTTTCTCTCGCGCTGCTGCGGCCTCCCCCGCTGCTGCAGGTGATTCCGTATTTCAGCAAATAAGTCCAGTCTGCATGCCCCGGGCGCGGGATCCCTGCTGCTGCTCCTGCTGCTGCTGCTGCTGCAGCAGGAGGCTCCGCAGCAGCAGGGCCTGCTGCGGCGTCGCTGGAGTCCTGTCCGTCTGCAGCAGCAGCTGTTTGTGCTGCTGCTTCCGCAGCAGCAGCAGCGGCGCTGCCCGGCGCTCCCGCTGCAGCAGCAGCAGCAGCAGCAGCAGGTGCTGCAGCAGCAGCAGCAGCAGCAGCAGCAGCAAAGCCAAGGTTGTCGTAGTCGTGGGGACGAATGTCTTTGTTGCGAATCAGAAGAGCCACCGGAGAGCCCAGCGTGAGGCCGTGCTGCACCCCGCTGAGGATTTCTGCTGCGTCGGGTTCGTTTCTGCTGCTGCTGCAGCAACCTGCTGCTGCTGCTCCTGGCCGCCGCCGCTGCAGCTGCTGCTGCACGCAGCGCAGACACACCGGCAGCCCCGCGGGGAGGCCTTCGATGCTGCAGCCGACAGCAGCGCCGTGGGACTCCCCGAAGGTGGACACTTTGAGCAGGGTCCCGAAGGAGGACATTTTGCAAAAGGGCTCCGGACGGCGAATTTAAACCCTTTTTCGATAATTAAAACGCGAAAATGGATTATAAATGAAAAACGAAGGAAATTTAAACCCGAAATTGCAGAAAACCCCGCAAAAACTGCGGCGAACCCGCCGTTTTGCAAAATGGGGGAGGGCGGGGGGGAGGGAGTGGAAAGCGGCCAAAGGGCGGCAGCTGGAAGGCCAGAAAAGGACAAAATGGATTTAAAATGAATTTTTAATCTTTTATAATGCAGCAATTCCTCGTGGGAAAAAGAAGAAGTCGACGGATCGCCAGCGGGAACTGCGGAGCGAAGCGGCGCCGCAGGGGGCCCCACGGCCGACAACTGAGGCGCCAATTGTCCATTTTAGTCTTTTTAGCTCATAAATAACTATTCAACTTTGAAAATAAAAGTTAAACTTTCCCAATTTGCCCAAAACTCGCTTTTGCAGGGCTCGCTTGAGACGGCCGGCGTTGCTGTCTCGCAGTTTCTGAGGTGTAGATACACTCCAACTCGGCCGCTGCGCCGGCGCCTCTTTCGAATTTTCAATTTCATTTTTTTCGAGATTTTGCGGAGGAAATAAAACAGATCTTTGTTGAGAAATTGATTTCAGCTCAAGCTTTCAGAATTTCCCGAATTTACCCGAAAACTTCGACAGCCGCTGCGGCATTCTTTTCGGGATCTCGATTTCCTCTGCTCGGAGCCTCGGAGCTTCGGATCCGCGTGGGAACGTGGGGATTTCGTGGATTGAATTGTTTTTCTTTCTCTTCATTTTCTTTTAACTTCAAAACAAACTTCTTTTTTAAAAACTTTTAAAAGTTTTTTTGCAGCTTTCCATTCCACTCCAGGTTGACCCGGTGCACAGCAGCAAGCCCCGAGCAGCTGGCAGTTCAAGTTCGTTTCAACTCTATTCCACTGAATTAGTTTCTGCAGCAAATTAAATCATATTAAATTCAAATTTAAAAGAAGTTTGTCCAGTTTTTCGTGTTTGTTTCCACTTTTATTCCTCGCGAATTTAATCTGTTTTGAAGCCAGCGAGTCACCGAGGCAGCAGCGCCAGCTGTACGTACAGCTCACAAAGGCTTGCAAAAACTTTGTCAGCTGTACCAAATGAAATAAATATTCATATTTATTTGTTTTAAATAAATAAATATGAATATTTATTTCATTAGGTACAGCTGTTCTAGAGGCCCAGGTGTACGTACACTCTAAATTGCAGCGCTCCAGCTACACAAAATGCAGCCACAGGAAGCAGCCGCAGCAGAGGCGCCAGTCCCCCCTGCTTCAGCAGCAGCAGCAGCAGCAGCAACAGCAGCGGCAGCGGCAAGAGCGGAAGCGCCAGCGGCAGCAGCAGCAGCAGTAGATGGAAGTTCGGAAGCTGCACCAGCAGCAGGAGCAGCTGCAGCACCAGCAACAGCGGCATCAGCAGAACCAGCAGCAGCAGCAGCAGAAGGCACACCAGCAGCAGCAGCAGCAGAAGACACAGCAGCAGCAGCAGCAGCAGCAGCAGAAGAAGATGATGAAACTAAAATCTTACTTGAATCAGAAACAAATTTGCATTTAAATCATTTTTCTTCTCATCCAAATAAAGAAAAACTTCAAAGAATTTTAGAAAGAAGAAAAAGAGCTCAACGCAGAATTCAAGAGACTAAAGATGGAGGCAAACCCTAAACCCTAAACCCTAAACCCTCACACGAGCCCAAACCCTAAACCCTCAAGCGAAACCCTAAGCCTCGCACGAGCCAAACTCCTAAACCCTCACACGAGCCCAAACCCTAAACCCTCAAACGAAGCCCGAAACACTCGTACAAGCTCAAACCCTAAATCCTTAGACGAAACCCTAAACCCTCACACGTGCCCAAACCCTAAACCCTAAACCATCAAACGAAACGCTAAAGCCCCATACAAGCCTAAACCCTAAACGTTCAAGCTAAACCCTAAACGCCCAAACCTAAACCCTAAACCCTTGAGTCTCAAACCTAAACCCTCACGGTAAACCCTAAACCCTCGCAGTAAAACTGGCTTTCCGGCTAAACCCTGAACTCTCACGCTGCGCCTTAAACCCTAGACCCTCAGGCTAAACGCCAAACCCTCAACCCTAAACCCTAAACCCTAAACCCTCAAAGCTGGGTTCCTGGCTTTAGAATAAACTCTTTTCCTGAATTTTTTTCTTAAAACTAGAAACTTTATTAACCCAAGTTCCGTCTGATAATGCGGACTACGCCTAAGGTTTAGGGTTTAGGGTTTAGGGTTTAGGGTTTAGGGTTTAGGGCATAGGGTTTAGGGTTTAGGGTTTGCGCGTCAGGGGCGGCTGCTGCTTCGAGCAGCGCGGAAACTCCGAAGGGCTGCGACGTGGAGGAAGCAGCAGCAGCAGCAGCAGCAGCAGCAGCAGCAGCAGCAATCGAATCAGAAATAAATATTAGTTTTGAAAAATTAAATAAAATGAAAAATGAATTTCAAGAAAAGATCGAGGCTTTGAAAACCTCCTTCAAAAACCGCCGGCAGCAGCAGCAGCACGAAGACGAAATGAAGGCCAAAGGCAACTTACCCAAACCCTAAACCCTAAACCCTAAACCCTAAACCCTAAACCCTAAACCCTAGATCTGGAACTGTAGAGCGCAGTCTACGCCCTGGCTGCTAAACTTCCGCCGTAGTCCACCCGCAGAAACTAGGGTTTGGAGCTTAGGGTTTACGGTTTAGGGTTTAGGGTTTAGGGTTTAGGGCTTGGGGTTTAGGGTTTAGGGCCATGTTTTCATTCAGAGAGAGACGAGGCAGAAGCGGCTGTCAACAAAAGCATTGAACATCAGAGGATACTGCAGGTTAGCTCTAGAGTTTAGGGTTTAGGGTTTAGGGTTTAGGGTTTAGGGTTTAGGGTTTAGGGCGTAGGGTTCAGGCTTAGGGTTTGGAAATTAGAGTTTGATCAAGCAGCTGCTACACAAGGGTTCATAATTTAGGGTTTAGGGTTTAGGGTTTTAAGATTCATGCCATAGATAGGGGTCTGGAATTTGAGTCGGTTAATGCGCCAGGGTTTAGAATTCAGAGTTGAGGGTTTAGGGTTTAGCTTTAGGGGTTTAGGGTTTAGGGTTTAGGGTTTCCACTCTGCAGGCCAAACGACTGGCCACTCTACCGAGTCTTCTAGTGGAGGCAAAAGCTCCAGAAAATCAGCAGCAGCAGCAGCAGCAGCAGCAGCAGCAGCTGGAGAGTTTAATACAGTCCGTCAACTTGGAGCAGCAGCTTTTAAATGAATTAAAAAATTTGAAGTTAAGTGAAGAAGAGCTTTTCATGGATGACGCCAAAAAGAAGGAGCAGAGGTTTCTCAACAGTAAACCCTAAACCCTAAACCCTAAACCCTAAACGCTCATCGTTAGTGTCTTTCTAGTTCAGAGCTGCTGTGACACCCCTATGCGATTTTTCTTCGAGGGTTTAGGGTTTAGGGTTTGGGGTTTTGCCACTGTATAAGGGCATTAAGCTTTGCTGGGCAGCAGAGTTTTTAGGGTTTAGGGTTTAGGGTTTAGGGTTTGGGGTTTGGGGTTTAGGTTTGGGGCTTCAGGAGGCGAAGGGGAGGGTTTGGGGTTTAGGTTTTGCAAGGCGCGAGGCTACGAAGAAGCATAATAGGCCTACGGCCTAGGCTTTAGGGTTTAGGGTTTAGGGTTTAGGGTTTAGGTTTAGGGGTTTAGGGTTTTCAGCCGTCTGCAGGTGAGCTGCTGCGGCTTGAACATGTTATGCTCCAGCAGAGGAAACAAGTACTGGTAAAGAACTCAAACCCTAAACCCTAAACACTAAACCCTAAACACTAAACCCTAAACCCTAAACCCTAAACCCCAATGGCTGAACTCCAAATATTAAGGGGAGGTTTTCTTGTCTTCACAGGACGCATTTAAAGTAGAAATCGACAAGTTGTTTGAAAAAAGAAAAAACATGGCGAGCTCAAACCCCAAACCCTAGACCCTAAACCCTAAACCCTAAACCCTAAACCCTAAAGCCTAGGCCGTAGGCCTATTATGCTTCTTCGTAGCCTCGCGCCTTGCAAAACCTAAACCCCAAACCCTCCCCTTCGCCTCCTGAAGCCCCAAACCTAAACCCCAAACCCCAAACCCTAAACCCTAAACCCTAAACCCTAAACCCTAAACCCTAATTTCAGGAGGAGCACGAGATTTTGGAGCAAAGAGAGGAAAGGAGAAAAGCGGGAAAAGCTCAAATTGAAAAAGAGAGAATAGAAAGTCTGCAAGCTGCTTCCGACATAAAGGCCCAGCAGCGGCAGCACTTAGAGGTACAAACTCTAAACCCTAAACCCTAAACCCTAAACCCTAAACCCTAGACCGTAGAGTTGGGCGCGGAGCTGCTGCCAGGTAGGGCTTGCCCATTTGTGGTTTCTCTTTTCTCCGCTTTAATTTTTGAGGCTTCAAAAGCTGCTTAGGGTTTAGGGTTTGGGCTTAGGGTTTAGGGTTTAGGGTTTAGGGTTTAGGGCTTAGCAGGAAGCGTTGTCCCGAGTATGGAGCCGAGGGTTTAGGGTTTAGCGCCCCGACCCCGAAGCTCCGAGTCTGAGCCCGAGGCGCAGCGCTGGCCCTGGCCTTCGGGCCGGGGCTTAGGGTTTAGGGTTTAGGGTTTAGGGTTTAGGGTTTAGGGTTTGCGCAGGAGCTGGAGGTGCAGCTGGAGTCGCTGGTGGCTGCGTGTCAGCTGCGGCAGCAAAAGCTGCAGTTTAATGTTTTGCTGCTGCTCGAAAGAAACCAAACAAATTCTTTTCTTCTTTTGAAACAAAAAAATAAATTAAATCTTTCCCGCGAGGGTTTGACAAACATTGCTGCCAAGTTCCGCACTCTCCGCAAAAAATACCTGTAAACCCTAAACCCTAAACCCTAAACCCTAAACCCTAAAACCTAAACCCTAGGCACTTGGCGCTGGGCGCTGGGGGCTGGGGGCTGGATGGGTAGCGGGTGGTGGCAAGGGAGGTTGTAAACCCTCGTCTTTAAACCCTCGGGGTGAAGCCCCTAAACCCTAAACCCTAAACCCTAAACTCTAAACCCTAAACCCTAAACCCCAGGCCGGTGGCCTGCTGGCTGGCGACGCAAAACCCCAATTGGCTTTCTCTCAGAGTCCAGGCGAGCTGCGCTGCGGGTGCTGACAGCTAGGGTTTAGGGCCTAGGCTTTAGGGTTTAGGGTTTAGGGTTTAGGGTTTAGGGTTTAGGGTTTAGGGTTTAGGGTTTAGGGT